GCTCCGCCCCTGGATATGTTAGAGTTTCTACAAGGGAAGTTTAGATGAGATTTACGTAATCTATTAGAAATATAAGCTCAAAATACATGAGTCTTAACATGCTATTATCGTTAGATTTGTTGACTCTAATCCAAAACTAGTTTGATTAAGATTTATTATCGGTTTTAAAATGGAATACGATTTGAGATGAAACGAAAAATATCATATTAAAAGGTGTGTGAAAAGTAATACATCAAAAATTTAAATGAGATCTAATTAATATAACATAGATTAATTTATTCAATACGATTTAGTTTTGAGTTAAAATTCTATAAAACTTTAAATAATATTAATTTATTCACTACGATTTAGTTTTGAGTTAAAATTCTATAAAACTTTAAATAATATTAATTTATATCACAAAATCTGAATTAAAATACATAACTCACTTCGTTAGCATTAATTCTTTTAGGGTGATGTTGAGTTTTGTCAAGTGTTTATTCGTTTATGTCAAAATTTATGTCAATTCGCGTCCGATTCGTTATGTCAAAATGTTTATAGTGTCAACGAAAAATTATACTCCACAACTATATATATACCGGGTAATACACTAGAAATTAGAATCACCTTTTTTTTATATTCAAAGATGCTTTAATGGAATATTATCTACATTTAGCTCATATGATCAAATGGATGGTAGCCTAATAGTTATTAGTTCAATTCTACTTGAGAGAGGTGATTTACGTCTTAAATATGGTATTATCAACGGCTGGTCCCGAACACGGAAAAAATTATGGATCAAAGATCCGGAACTCCTACGATATATAAAAAAAAAAAAATTAGCTCAGGTGTTCTCTCTCCTCTTTTGACACCGACCAAACAAGCTTAATCGTATAGTATTGCTAAAAAAACGTGATCCAGCTAACTACATGTATTTATATATGTTTGCTCGTACTCGTAACATATTATTAAATATAGAAAACTATTTTATAACATAACAATAATCACCAAACAGCACAATTTCTTTAGCTTCGTACGATTTTCTTTAGATGTATTACTAATTATCGATCGATCAATAATTTAAATTGTAATGTGGCGAATAATTTGAAGGTTGAAAGGGCACATACCATTTATAGGATGCGTTTGTGTGTTTTATAACTTAGGATGAGTCCCAAAAGCCTATGAAAATTCTGAATTTGCACGTGAAATTAATCAATCTCACAAAAGCATCTTCTCTTCTTCCAATGCGTTGACGACG